AAGGGACATCACAGAAATAAAAGGACTATACAAGAATAGTATGAAAGGCTTTATGCCACCAAATTCGATAACCTAGAAGAAATGGATAAGTCCTTAGAAATTTATAACCTTCTGAGACTGAATCATGAAGAACTGAAAAATCTAAATAGACTGATCAACAATAAGGAAATTGAAACAGTCATAAAAACCTTTCCTAAAAGTAAAAGTTTGTCTTATATGGCCTTTATTATGTTTTAAGGTACTTTCCTTCTATACCAATTGATCATATCAATAGATGCAGAAAAAGCCTTTGACAAGATACAGCATTCATTTATGATCAACACTTAACAAAATCAGTATAGAAGGAAAGTACCTTAACATAATAAAAGCCATATATGACAAACCCTCAGCCATCATTATACTTAACAGTGAAAAACTAAAAACCTTTCCTCTAAAATCAGGAACAAGACAAGGCTGTCCACTATGACATATAACATTGGAGGTCTTAGTGAGTGCAATTAGGCAAGAGAAAGACATAAAAGACGTCCAACTAGGAAATGAAGAAGTAAAACTGTCTCTATTTGTGGATGACATGATTCTCTATATAGAAAACCCTAAAGACTCCACAAGAACACTACTAGAAACAATAAGCAAATACAGTAAAGTTTCTGGACACAAAATCAATGTTCAAAAATCCATAGCGTTCCTATACTCTAATAATGAAGTGTCAGAAAAAGAAGTAGAAAAAATAATTCCTTTTGCAATTGCAACAAAAAGGATAAAATACCTAACAATAAATCTAAAGAAACATGTGAAGGACCTATAAAATGAAAACTATAAGACCCTATTAAAAGACATTGAAGAAGATACAAAGAAATGGAAAGATATTCCGTGTTCTTGGATTGGAAGAATCAACATAGTTAAAATGACCTCATTACCTAAAGCGTTATACAGATTTAATGCAATCCCCATCAAAATCTCATCAGCATTTTTTAAAGAAATAGAACAAAAAATCATCAGATGTGTATGGAAGAAAAGACCCTGAGTTGTCAAAGCCATCCTGAGAAAAAAGAACGAGGCTGGAGGCATCACTCTGCCCAACTTCAAATTATACTACAAAGCAAAAATAATCAAAACGGCTTGGTACTGGCAGAAAGATACACAGACCAGTGGAATAGAATCGAGAGTCCAGATGTAAACTCTTGTTTATATGGGCAAATAATTTTCGACAAAAGAGCCAAAAACATACAGTGGAGCAAGGAAAGCCTCTTGCTGGGAAAACTGGAAAGCCACCTGCAAAAGAATTAAACTAGACTATTGACTATTACCACACATCAAAATTAACTCAAAATAGATTAAAGACCTGAATATAAGACCTGAAACAATAAATTATATAGAAGAATACATAGGAACTAAACTCATGGACCTTGGACTAAAAGAGGATTTTATGAATTTGACTTCAAAGGCAAGGGAAGTAAAAGCAAAAATAAATGAATAGGACTACATCAAACTAAAAAGCTTCTCCACAGCAAAAGAAACTGTCAGCAACGTAAAGAGAAAACCATCCGAATGAGAAAATATATTTGCAAGCAACACCTCCGATAAGGGCCTAATATCCAAAATATACAAAGAACTCATACAACTAAATAACAACATAAAAATAAACCAATTAAAAAAAGGGCAGAGGACCTGAACAGACACTTCTCCCAAGAAGACACACAAATGGCCAACAAACATATGAAAAGATGCTCACCATTGCTAGCTATTAGGGAAATGCAAATTAAAACCACAATGAGATACCATCTCACACCTGTTAGAATAGCTGTTATCAACAGGACAAGTAATAACAAGTGTTAGAGAGGATGCAGAGAAAAGGGAATCCTCATACATACACTGCTGGTGGGATTGCAAATTGGTACAGCCACTATGGAAAACAGTGTGGAGGCTCCTCAAAAAACTAAGAATTGATTTACCATATGATCCAGCAATCTCTTTACTGGGTATTTACCCCAAAGACTTGAAAACCCATATCCAAAAAGATATTTGCACACCAATATTCATAACAGCATTATTCACAGTGTCCAGGACATGGAAGCAATTGAAGTGTCCTACGATAGATGATTGGATAAAGAAGCTGTGATACACATATACAATGGAATATTACTCGGCCATAAAAAGAGGTGAAATACTGCCATTTGCGACAACATGGATGGACCTCAAGATAATCATGGTAAGCAAAATCAGACAGACAGAAAAAGTTGAAAACCACATGATCTCACTTATTTGTGGGATATAAACCTAAAAGCAACAAAGGAACAAGACAGATTCTCATGGACAATAGACTAGTGGTTACCAAAAGGTCAGGGGAGGGGGAAGGGGAGAGGTAGATGGGGTAAAAGAGGTCAAATATGTGGTGACAGAAAGAAGTCTAACTATGGGCAGTGAACACACAATACAATATATATATATATGCCTTCCTGTTGAATTGTATACCTGAAACTTAACCGGGTTTCATTAACCAATGTCACCATAATAAAAATGAAAATAAAAAATAAATAAAATGAGTATAAATGAAAAAAAAAAAAGTAAAAGTTCAGGACCAGATAGCTTCACTAGTGAATTCTACCAAACATTCAAAGATAATTTAACATCTATCCTTCTTGAACTCTTCCAAAAAATTGAAGAGGAAAAACTGCCTAACTCATTCTATGAAACCAGAATTACCCTGACACCAAAGTCTGGCAAGGACAATACAAAAAAAGAAAATTACAAACCAATATCTCTAATGAATAAAGATGTAAAAATTCTCAACCATGTATTAGCAAACAGTATTCAATAATACATTAAAAAGGTAATACATCTTTTTACTTAATACACGATCAAGTGGGATTCATTCCAGGGGTACAAGGATGGTTCAACATATACAAATCAATCAATGTGACACACCACATTAACAAAATAAAAGGATAAAAATCATATGATCATATCAGTAGATATAGAAAAAGCATTTGACAAGATAAAACATCCACTTATAATTAAAACATTCAATAAATGGTATAGAAGGAACATAATATAATAAAGGGTATATATGACAAACCCACAGCTAAAATCATACTCAACGGTAAAAAACTGAAAGCTTTTCTTCTAAGATCAGGAGTAAGACAAGGAATCTCATTCTTGCCACTTCTATTCAACACAGTATTGGAAGTCCTAGCCATAGTAATCAGGCAATAAAAAGAAATAAAAGGCATCCAAATTAGGAATGAAGTAAAACGCTCATTATTTGCAGATAACACAACACTATGTACAAAAAACTGTAAAGACCACACCAAACAACTATTAGAACTAGTAAATGAATCCAGTAAAGTTTCAGGATAATCAATATATAGAAATCTGTTTTATTTTTATACATCAATGATAATGATCAGAAAGAGAAATTACAAAAACAATCTAATTTACAATTGCATCAAAACACATAACATAACTAAGAATAAATTTAACTACCAAGGTGAAAGACCTGTATTCTGAAAATTCTAAGATATAAATAAATAGAAGGATACACCATGTTCATGGACTGGAAGTTCCTATCAAAATATCAATGGCATTCTTAGAACCAGACAACTCATCCTAAAATTAAGATGGAACCACAAAAGATCTCGAATAGCCAAAGAAACCTTGAGAAAGAACAAAGTGAGAGGTATCACACTCCCCAATTTTAAACTATACTACTAGGCTACAACAATCAAAATACAGTATATATACTGACATAAAAAATTGGAATAGAGAGTGCAGAAATAAATCCTCACTTATATGATCAACTAATCTAGGACAAAGGAGAAAAAGATATACAATAAAGATAATTTCTTCAATAAGTGGTGCTGGAAAAACTGGATAGTGCAAAAGAAATTGGATCACTTTTTTATACCATATACAAAAATAAACTCAAAATGAATAAAAAGCTTAAAGGTAAGACACAAAACCATAAAACTCCTAGAAGAAAACATAGGCAGTAAACTCTTTGGCATTGGTCTTAACAATATCTTTTTGGATATATCTCCTAGGGCAAGGGCAAGGTAAACAGAAAAATAAACAAATGGGAATACATCAAAATAAAAAGCTTTTGCAGCGAAGGAAACCATCAAAAAAAAAAAAAAAAAAAACAATCTACTGAATGGGAGAAGATATTTGCAAATGATACATCTGATAAGGGGTTAGTATCCAAAATATGTAAGGAACTCATACAACACCAAAAACCCCCAAAACAATCCAATTAAAAAGTGGGCAGAAGACCAAATAGACATTTCTCCAAAGAGGACAAAAAGATGGCCAACAGACAACAAATGAAAAGATGCTCAACATCACTAATCATCAGGGAAATGAAAATCAAAATCACAATGAGGTATCACCTTACACCTGTCAGAATGGCTATCATAAAAAAATAAATAACAAGTGCTGGTATGTAGAGAGAAGGGAACTCTTGTATACTGTTGGTAGGATTGTAAATTGGTGCAGCCACTTTGTAAACAGTACAGGATCCTTCAAAAAAAATTTCTTTTAAAGCAGCTGTACAACTCAGAAACTATTTCTGGGTATTTATCTGAATAAAATAAAGACTAATTTTAAAAGATATATGTACCCCTATGTTAACTGCGGCATTACTTACAATATCTAAGAGATGGAAGCAACCTAGGTGTCCATCTATAGATGAATAAAGAAGTGGTATATATGTATATGTATGTGTGTGTACACAATGGAATATTATGTGGCAATTAAAAAGAATAAAATCTTGCCATTTGCAACAACATGGACCTAGCTGGTATTATGCTAAGTGAAATAAGTCAGACAGAGAAAGACAAATACCATATGATTTCACTTATATGTGGAATCTAAAAAAACAAAACAAAACAAGACCCATAGATGTAGAGACAAGCTTTTGGTAACCAAAGGGGAGGATTAAAAAAAAGGAAAAAAAAAAAAAAAGATAACATGTGAAGGTTCCTGTTGAATGAAATTTCTCTATATTACATATTCCAAAAGTACATACTTTTATCAGAATATTTTATTCCAATAGTTAACATTTTTTTCAAAAATACAATATAGTTATACTTCCCTGAGTATAAAGAACTAATCCTACAATAAAAGACAATTACAAAATTAAGCAATTAGAGGTATATAATTCTCTGCATTCAATTATACTCTATTACAAATTTATTCTTAAAAATCTCATGTATTTTGGAACTTTAATGTTTTAAAAAAATGAAACAGTTCATTTTGCATCTGTGATGTTAAGGTAAGTCTGATCGGTCTTTATCAAATTCCAGAGCAATCTTTAAAGCAGTGCTATTGAGGCCAACAGACTGCATATTACATATGATAGAAACAACTATTCCTCTTGGGGGGACTTTCTTATTTATAGATTCTGCATCCAGTTCTTCAGGAAGGATCAGCAGGACACTACTGGCACCCACTGCACCTCCAGTATGTGAGGCATAATGCCGTTGCTTCCTACAAGAACCATATGTTTGCTTCTTTTCTACGACACCCCATGCCATTGCATATTTACCCTCTTTATCCCAAGACATCTCTGTGTTAGGGACTGGTGTCCAAATCATAACCATTGTTTCTGGTTTTAGATATCCTGGTAAAAGATTTTCATTTGAGTTCTTAAACAGCCCGACTTGGTAACCATACAGCATTGCATTCCCAAATTTCAGAAGGTCACCCACTGTAGACAGAAATCCACCACCAGCCCATTTATAGGAGTTATCCACGTAAGGTGTGTTGACAAGACGTTTCTTTTTATTGTAAACATAAAATCTAAAATGAAATAAGAATGGTCATTAAAAATTTAATAGTCTGTTATTGACTTTACACATGAAAATGAACAGGAAAATGTACACATGAGACAGATTGTATTTCAATGCAGTAATCATACATTCTCAGAAACTTTCTCATTACTTTATGCCTAAACACTGATTATACTTATAATTCCAAGCCGATCAAATCTAAAAGAAGCCAAATAACATAAATACACTTTCTCATTGAGAAACATACTTCTTAGAATGAACTCCAAGTTTCCCAACTAGGAAAGAACTGCCAGTATATTTTGGCCAGTAATCAGCTTTGTGTAACTTCCTTTTAACAGTAAAGCATTTCAAATCACTGATATGAAGGCTGGAAATTAGGACTCTTTGGTCATTCCTCCTTTAAAATATAAAACTATGGAGAATTCGAGACTTTAATTTAGAATTCTAAATTTTAAATAAGCAAATTCTAGACTTTAATCCCTTGATTTCTTTTCACAGAGGACAAATTAATGGTTTTTCATGAAAATGATTTTTTTCAGCTGGATGATAACTTTCAAATTCTTAAGGAATTTCTGCTCTAAAAAGAATGGGATGTAGACACAAGTTCTTAAATTACTGGAACATCTTTGTGACTGAGTAACTGATAGAATGATGCCAGATGACAAACAGCCTCTTTCTACTTATTTAAGAATCTGTAGATTCTGCACAAGAATACTATATAACCACAAAAATCTACATCTACAAACTTAGAAATTCAAAATACTTTTATAAATGCTTCTTAAATGCCTTTAGAAGCAATTATGCACTTTGTATTTTATTATGAGTTTTAAAACCCACAAAATTTAAAATGCATAGTATAAAAAACAATCCCATTTCAACATTCAGCATTAACATCTGCACTGAATCTATTACAAGAGTCTGTCAGCCAAAGGCATAAAGAAAGATTCATAAAGAACAATGCTTAATTTTAGAAGACACTCTAGAAAATAAAGATTAAAAAAATAATAAAAAATAACAACAGAAGGAAAAGGCCATATCTATACTGTCAAAACAGAGTGAACACTTTGGAAAACATTCATTTATTGGCTTTGGTCCCATCCAATTATAAAAGAGATTTTTGTTTCAAGTATTGTACAAAATGCATAGAAAACATGAGCTAATACATTGACTAAGGATTCCCCTATCAACAAACGGAGTGTCTTTCAGTGTCACGAACATTTGCTCCACTGGCTTGTGGATATCTGCCTATACAAAATATACCTGCTGTACAGAATCAATATATCTATTTATATACACATAATCAATGTTCCTATTCTTCAATTTAAGAAAATCTCAATATTATTCAGAAAGGCAATGTATCCAGTTACAAACTAGTTTCCCTGCATTCTTTACAGCTAAATGTGGCCTGTGGTTAAAATTCTGGCCAAAGAAATGTCAGTAGTCTTTTGGGGTGAGATTCTGGGGAAATACCTTGAACAGGCGACAGACACCGAAAGGTACTATTTTAAACACATAAATACACAGAGAAGTGATAAGACAATAAATATTTACTCTTGGGGTACAATAACTCTAAAAAGGCTTGATCAGGAGAGCATAAACATTTAATTTATGATTCTGATCAAGGAGTCAGCAAACTAAATAACAAGGCTGAAAACTTTTGCTAGAAAATTTATTTCCTGCAAAATGGTACCATAAAACAAATGAATAGAAATATGAATTTACTAAGTTTACTTTAAGGTTTTTTAAAAATAATATGTTTGAAATGACTCCTTTTACTGCCTGAACTCTCCAAAAAAGGTGGTCCCTTTAAGTTCTTTTAAAATAATTACAATAAAAAAAAAAGAGAGTAGAATTAGAGTTGACTTTTAGAGGCCCAAATAGATACTGTATTAAGTAAAATAAAAACAAAGCTAATGAATAGAACATTAGGTAACAACATTTCCTTTGTGTTTTCTGTTCTCTATTTTATTTCAACAGCCCATTTAATCTAACTAAAATGAATCAACTACCCTTTTAGCACTATTGAGTACTGCCAAAACCTAAATAAAAAATCCAGAGCAGATAGGAACGTTTTACAATATAAATGGAAACCCACTACCTTTTTCCAAAGAATGAAAGACAAAAAAAACATATTAACTCTCTATCATCTGCCATTTAGATTTTTGTGCAAGTCATAAATTAATCATTCATTAAGAAAACAGAAAATTAATGATAGTGGTTCTGTAGCCTGTATATTCATAGAGCCTTAATTTTTAGTTTAGAAAAGAGGCTCAATGATACATAATGTTCTTCTCTCCCTTACATATAAGTTTAGGCATTTATTATCAAATGCCTGGATCTAAGTCAAAATAAGGTCATGCATCTATGTCATCTTTATTAGAGAATCTTTTTTAGATTCAATTCACAATCACTGGTATTTGTCAATTTTTCTCATGCTTTCCAGTAAATAGAATGTTATATCTAAAAATAATAAACACTAAGAGTCCAAACTGGTTGAGAACTACAGGCCATTTAAAAAATTAAAATTCATTGCTTGCTGCTAACCTAATTTCCTCTAGGTCCAAAAAAGTCTCTTTTAGGCTGACTAGCAATGCATATTTAATTCATTTAAATAAGGTGGTAATTTTTAAATGGTAATTTAACTAGGTACAACAGAAGATTAAACAAAATTAGAGTGAAGATAGGAAGATAAAGCTAAAAAAATTCCACCATTTCACCTATTTCAAGTACCATTAAAAGCATGTACTGATGGAAATATGCAACAGCTGATTTGTTAAATATTACGTTTCTAACAAACCAAATAATTTAAATGGAAAAATCCATAATCATAAAACTACTTATTAGCTTCAAAATTCTCTCCCAATGCCCCTTTTATAAATTACTAGTAAAAAATTATAAATGTTTCATTTGATATATTTCAATAAAATGACTTTCAAACTTCTACAGTGCAGGGCAGGTACCACTTCAACAAAGCAATTAAAATTACCATCACCAATAATGGGACAAATTACATCATGAAACTGCTGCTGTAAAGGGCATTATTGGAACAACTGGAAAAATTTGAATAAGGTCTATAGATCTGATAAAAATATTGTGTCAATGTTAATTTCCTGAATGTCCTTGTTTTAGAAAATACACAGTGAAGTATTTATGGGTAAAGGAATACCATGTCTGCAACTTATTCCAAATGGTTCAGGGGAAAAAAAAAACGTCAAATATACAGAGAGTTAAAATAAATGTGGTAAAATGATAACATCTGTGGAATCTGGGTGAAGAGTATACGGAAATTCTTTATACTATTCTTATAACTTTTCTATAAGTATGAAATCATTTCAAAATAAAAATTAAAACAATAAAAAGTAAACAAAGAAAGCACTAGTATATAAAACATATAAGGGATTATTAAAGAGCAAACTATAGATGCCAATGATGGGTGTAATTTTGGTTTAATTATTCATGTGTTTAAATTATTATTGCTGCCTTTCATCTAAGAATCTTCAGGGTACTTTACAAATACATTTTATTTCACTCACTTCACTCACTTTATAGATGGGAAAACAGACATGAAGAAAAGCTCCCCAAAAATGGCAAGTTGACTTTAGAAAGGAGACAAGGAGAACTTGACTTTAAATTGGTAACATAGCATTAAGGTGTGATATAGCTAAACACATCGAAAGGTATTCATTTACCTTGCTCTATTGTAAATTACTGGTTCATTTTCTTCCTGCACAGTTGTCAGCATATCCAAGTCATGGAATATTTTCTGCATATAGTCCAAATATTTATATCCTGAAGCTCTTTCAACTATGGCTGCCAGTAGGGAATAGCCAAAAGTTGAATACAAAAACTGACTACCTTGAGACATCATTGCATGGAAGAAAAAAAAAGAAAATGATTCATTATTATTTAAAAATATGTAAAATATTTTCCCACTGAAAACTGGTATACCTTAACATTGGAATATTTTACTTCAGCATTTATAAAACATGGATGATATATTAAATTCAGTTAGCTTTGCAATGGCCCTACTTATTCCATGTCCCTAACATAAGAATAAAATGATTATCAATATACCTAAAATTTCATATGAATCTACTCCTTTCTATAACAAATAAACAAATAAGTCCTACTTCAAACATGACAGAAATCCTTCAGACTGGCAATAAAATAGGAAGGGAAAGAAAAGCAAATTTGGATTCGTGAGTCGCCTGTCTTATTCTTAACACACTACCCATTGTTTAAGGCATAAATAACTGTACAAGTTATTTTAATAAAATATAGATATAAAAACCCTGTTTCAAATATATATTAAAATAAAAAATATATTCAAACATATGTCCTGTTTCAAATATATACCTTGATTTCATTTTGGATTCTGGAAATGTAGATTGTATCATCTGTACTAAAAATTGGTGAAAATCTTATTTTTTTTCAGATAAAATCCATAATATTTCATTGCCTTTATTAATTATACCTATATAATATCTATTCATGGTAAAAACTTTAAAAATGAAAATGGGAGAAAAGTAAATAAGCCTATGGTACATTTAAAGATATTAAATGGTTTCAGTAGGCACTGTACAAAAACGAAGACAGTAATTTTTATAGATTAGCTTTTTGGGAAATAAAATTAAGTTGATGAACTCTAATTTCTTCAAAGAATGAAGGCACAAAATAACTGAGTAATTTAAATTCTAATTGATACTAGCAATACTTTATCATGTCTACTTTGGTTCAGATTTACTTTGGAGAGATATTATTCCAACATTTCTCCGTAATTTTTCCACAAATATCTTGATATTGAGAATCCACTAAATGACTATGAGGCTAAATCAAAAGAACTAGCTGCCTGGAATGCTAGGTGGGAGCTACATGTTAAGTTCTTAATTATTGTTAAGAAATACATAAAAGGTAAGCACTAGTCTGACAACAAAATCAATGCATAATCATCAACCACATCAAATACACTCAGGATGGTATCATTTTGGATTTTCTGAAAATTAACACTTCAGTAATGATGACTTTGTTAAGAGAAGGAATTAACACTCACCAGGTTTAAAGAACAAAGGGTCATTTTTAAATAATCTTAGAGATTCAATTGAATTTTCAAACTTTTCTCTCAAATACAATTCACCTTGTTCAAAATCATTTTTTTTCTTGACAGGTTTTGAATTCCGGCCTTTGGCTTCATTATCCTGCTCTACCTTAGCTTTAGCAAAGTCATTCCTTTCATTGCTTTTGCCTCCTTTTTCTTTCAACTCTTTTTCTTGGTCGGATTCCATTGTCTCTTTCATTTTCAAGGCTTTATAAGCTTTCTCTTCTTTCACCTTTTTCATGTCCTTTTCATAATGACGAATTCCACTTAAATGGGAAATCAATAATCTTGTTGTGACAGAAACCTAATTGTAAAAACATGGAAGTTCAATTATATTATTAAACTATAATAAAAAGTTAATAGCCTTGGAACAATCCTCCAACAATATTTTCTATTTTAAATTGCTGCTGGAAAAATATATCACGTACAGATTTTAGCCTCAAATTTCAGGAAAATACTCATTATCTGGATTAAAAAAGTTAATGATAGTTAAAAACAAACCAAAGAATCCCATATAACCTTTTAAACCATTTAACATGCCATTTGTAAAATGAACTGCGTGTTTCATTACCTTTTCACCTTCATATTCCTTTTCTGGGAATTCAGGAACATAATGTTGTACTGGAATATCAAGATCTAGTTTCCCTGCTTCCCACAATTTGGCAAGAGCAACCATGGTGAGGCTTTTGCTGATACTAGCAATTCTCATAACTGTCTCTGGTTTGCATGGTACACGGTTCTCAACATCGGCATAACCTAAACCTTTGAAAAATAAGCAAAAAGTCACTATTGATAAGCTTCATGGTCAAAGGAGTCTTGAAAAACTGAAAAAAAAAATACTATCTTAAAACATCATGCATTTATCTAAAGGAGAAGATATTCCACTTTTATATGTTAATGAAAATTTAACATGTAAGAGATGACCGTCTTAACAACACTGACAACAGTAAGTCTAACAATTTAAACATAACTAAACTGAATTGTACCTTGTGCACAATAGCAATTTTTCCATCTGATTCAAATACTAATTTTTCTTAGCTTATCTAAACATGTGGTTAGTCTACATCTTAAATAAATTACTCTACATTCTTTAAGGAAAACACCATTGTTCTTCAGATTATATTTATTGATTTTTGAGTGAGTTTTTACTGAATTCCTTAAAATAGCCATCCAATAAAAATAAATGTGAAAGGAGATCCTGTAAACCCACTCTATCAATTCAATTCAGCTGCAAATAAGAAGGAAAACAATGTCCTACTAACTTAAAGCTCCTTCTAGAAAAAAATTTTAAGCTTGGTTTCATCTTCCGGACATGCTGAACGTGTGGAAATATAAGAGATATAAAGAACTAAGATGTGAAAAAAAAGAAAATGTGTAAAATGATGGTTTTTAAACTGTAAACATGAATCATACTAAAATACTTGCATTAAAAACACAGTCCTCACCTATAAAGCTGACATTTGTCTAATTTTTGATTACAATATTTTTCATAAATTAGGTATATTGATTAGGCTATACTTATACTTGGGGGAAGAATCATTTTTCTTTAAATTCAAGACTCCACTGCTCCCAAAGTAAGTAGTAAAGAAGTACTACTTTCTTAAATGATGTCAGAAACATTTCCTAAAAGTATGGTTCCTCAAAACCTGGGATGACCAGCTCCACACATTTGTGTGGAATGGAGAAGTAAATAAAGTTATCAAATAGGATCTGATAAAAGTATCATAAAATGATTAGAAATACCTCTTCCAAGGCTTCTAGCTTTTTGTTTTAAAAAATACCTGACACCTCTGCCTAGTCAAAAAAAAAAAAAAAAAAAAAAAAAAAAAAAGCAAAGTGGATGGTAAACTCCACTTTGTTAAGGACAGGAATCGTGTACACCCTCAGTACTTACTATTGTGCATTTACATGATAGGCGGCTCAATAAATCGAAGGTTGAATTTAAAATTCTGACAGTTTATCTACTCATAAGGGTTATCTACACATATGCAGTTAAAAGTTTTATATACAACTTTCAGAATAAATTCAGTTTTTATAGAAGAGTGGGCATAGAAATAAGCCATTTTAAAGACTCCAACTTATTCATTAGTTACATTTTAAATCTTCTTTTAGAAAACACGATACTTGTTAGATACGTTTTCTCTACAATATGGATGGTTTTCTGTAAACCGAACGGTATTTCACGGGATTCACACCAAGAAGTAAAATATCAAGTTTTCATTCCCCAACTGGCACAAAACAAGGCACTAAATAACTTTTCTGAGCCTACCTTCTGACCAGACTTCTTTTCCATCTACAGAGACTCCAACCACTATGCCGGGTGCGCCCACCTCATCCTACGAACGAAGTGGCAAGGAACAGACAGTTCAAAGACAGGCCGAAACACCTGGCACATCCACCACAGCATACACCTGGGGCATGGCCCCGCCCCCTCTACCTGGGCCCCGCCCACCCGCGCCGGGACGCCGCTAACCATGAGGGGTGTGAGGGGTGTGCGGACTCGGCACCCAGAGTGGGAAGGGGCGGTCCCCGGGGCGGGCGGTAACCTCCGCCCTGACTTGGGCAACCCCCAAGAGCATCTGACTGTGGCCCAGAGGTCGGAAAACGGGAAGTTTTTCTCGGAAGCTGACCGCGGGCATCCCACCGCCCGGAGTGGGGTCTGCTCGGCCCGGGGAGATGACCACCGAGGGGCCCCATTCCGAGGTGACGCCGGGGACCGGAGGCCAGGTTCCCAGCCGTCTACGCCCCTCGTCGCCGCACCTTGATCCTGTGCAGCAGGTCACGGCTGCTGTCGATGGCTCTGGCGAAGCGCCTGGAGCGGGGCAGCTCCGGGGTCTGCGGAGACCACGCGGCGAGGGGCTGCTCCTTTGGCGCCTGCGGCTCGGCCTGAGGCAACGTCTCGGGGTCGGGGTCCGA